ATAGAGAACCGAATGTTCAGGATGCCATTTGAGCCAGTGTAATGCAAGTTTTAAGACTAAATGAAAAAAATCGCCTGTGCCATACCGCAGAAGAAGGTGTGGGAGGAATTCAGCATTGCAATTGTAGTCGAAGGTGGATTAGGAGTATTGGTAGGTGCCTTAGCAGCAGGACTTTCAGCAGGAGAATCTACTACTCAATTAGCTGGTGCTATTGCACAGGCTAAATCTGCTCTCAGTGTAGTTAATGGTGTGGCCAGTGTTGCAAGATATACATCTTTAGAAGAAATAGAACTGCAAGAGTTAGTTCGACAAGTTAGGCAGGAGGAACAGTCTATTTGCACCACCACGGAAGAAATATCAACTACGACAATTACAGAGGAACCGAACACTTCTATAAATGTTGAGGAACCTCCAAAACCGTCCAATTCTAGACGGCAAGAAGAAACACCTCCTCTACTTAAACGACAAAAAGTAGAATTTATAAAGCTTAGCCGAATAGGCGTCCAGAGTCCATGGCTCAACTTCAAATTGAATCTAATATTCCCTCGCATCTACCTAAACACGTCAAACATCACCTGCGCTACCTAGAATATGAAGTAAATTTGACGTCCAAAAGACTGAAAACGCAAAACGCTGGTATTATGAATAAATATAAGCGTGAATTTGGCCTGCAAATCCTGAAATATAAGCAGACCAAGTTTATGCACAAGAGCACTGGATACCAGAGCAAAAAGGGGTTTAGCAAATTCAATTTCCACTGCCCGAGAGGATGCAAAGTGGTGGCAGTTAAAAACTCATAGGACTAATATAGTGGACACCTTTAAACGGTATTCTGAATCTTTGCATTCCATTAGTTTCGTAATTCACATACAATTATTTAAGCAACTGTTGTTCTTACTAGGGGCCACGTGACCCAGGCGCGGTAGGCACCATCAACCGGACTAGGCACCTCATCCGTAGCTGTATAATGTGATTGGTTCGTTGCCATGATGCCGGTGTGCAGTGCGTTCTGCTTCGATTTGTTTCGACGGCCGGAAGTCGCGCAGACGAATCCAGATTTGCGAACCAGTCA